GTCCCTTAAGCATAAACGGTGGTTTTTTAGAGGTTTGGATATCAGGTAACGATTAAATGGTCAAATCAGGCAACACTATCAGTTACGTCCAGCTAGATTCGTAACTTTTTCATGAACAGACAAATGCAAGAACAGTGCTTGCAAATTTATTTCGAAAATCATAGTAGAAGATTTTGAAAATGTCAACTCGCTGTTATATCGCGATATTCTGTGATGAGACAGTGATGAGGCAAGTTTTCAGCTCCATCAACATGTCAAGAAACAAAGTCTCCGCATTAGGAGACGCATTGTTTGGCATACTTTATGGACCGGCGCAATGATTCGCGCTTATTTCGTACGCAAGTTGAATGGAATGTTAACTAAAGACATGTCTTTTCAACAGGACCGAGCACAGTGGTCGAAAAATCAAAAAAATCTGACCAAAATATGAAGCTGTCGTTAGAGTCGTAAAACTTTTGGGACTTATACATATGTATGATTTGTAAGTCGCTGATTACGGCTATCGATGCAATTTCTTAAAATTCAAAATGACGGATCCAAATATGGCGGATTTTTTTTTCAAAAAGTCGTTAAATCTTCTTAAAACTCCNTTTTGGACTTATACATATGTATGATTTGTAAGTCGCTGATTACGGCTATCAATGCAATTTCTTAAAATTCAAAATGACGGATCCAAATATGGCGAATTTTTTTTTTCAAAAAGTCGTTAAATCTTCTTAAAACTCCATATAATGAATAAGTTACGCATTTTTTGTTATTATTTTCCATTACCACGACATATGATGAGCGCGAGAATGGACAGCTTTTATCTTGTACTGTAAAACAACTGTAAAGTTTTAAGGCTACTCTGGCATATGTAGTGACTACTCAAAGTGTACTTTATCGTCGCCTAGATAAAAGATTGTCGTATTTTACTTTCAAAAGGTTTTCGGAAATTGCGATTGAAGTTTGGAATGTAATTTCTCAAAAACTAGACGATACCGCGAATCNAATATAATGAATAAGTTACGCATTTTTTGTTATTATTTTCCATTACCACGACATATGATGAGCGCGAGAATGGACAGCTTTTATCTTGTACTGTAAAACAACGGTAAAGTTTTAAGGCTACTCTGGCATATGTAGTGACTACTCAAAGCTTACTTTATCGTCGCCTGGATAAAAGATTGTCGTATGTTACTTTCAAAAGGATTTCGGAAATCGCGATTGAAGTTTGCAGAATGTTACTAGTTCACGAAATTCAAAAATTATTATTTTTCATTGTTTATTCTTAATTATTTTGAGTTTATATTTTATCGTTTGCTAAATTTGTCAACAATTTTGCAGCCACTTTACATGATATACGACAAAATGTGATACAAATGTTTACTAAATTAACGACGCGTTTTACTCACTACCTCGGAAACTACAGGAGTTATCCAACAATGGATAATGCCATTTGAAAAATCTCGATTAGCTATGCAAAAGAGATAACACCAATCGAAAAATCATATTTTAAAATATATAAATGCATCTATAACTAAAAATCGTCGAAATGGCGTTTACGACAATCTTTTATCCAGGCGACGAAATGTCTGAAATTTAAAATTACATATAACTTTCGTTTTACGAATTTTCGTCAGTTTCCTTACATTTTCGAACGTTGTGTGACGCCACATGTCACACAGCGCTTCAAACAATCAACATATTGTAGGAAGCATTGGATGAACGTGTTAATTTTCGACATAGGCCAGTCGATTTCCCATCGAGATCAAGCGAATTGGTGCCTCTTGATTATTATCATTTAAGCAAAATAAGTGGTCGAAATTTGGACTTCCAAAATGGGCCACATCTGAGTTAGCGTCGGCAGCCACATACCGGAAATTAAATTCAAACACTAATGGCACAAAACGATCTTTCCAATAAAGACCTTCTAAATTTTCAGATTAAAATGAAGTATGTAATCTCATTATTTTATTTCAATTTAAAATTCTGCACCTCTANTGTAGGAAGCATTGGATGAACGTGTTAATTTTCGACATAGGCCAGTCGATTTCCCATCGAGATCAAGCGAATTGGTGCCTCTTGATTATTATCATTTAAGCAAAATAAGTGGTCGAAATTTGGACTTCCAAAATGGGCCACATCTGAGTTAGCGTCGGCAGCCACATACCGGAAATTAAATTCAAACACTAATGGCACAAAACGATCTTTCAAATGAAGACCTTCTAAATTTTCAGATTAAAATGAAGTATGTAATCTCATTATTTTATTTCTATTTAAAATTCTGCACCTCTAAAAAAACACCCTTACCATACATGCACACATACATACATCACTTTAATTCACAAAGGCCCTAACCAACAGATTTTTTATTTTACAGGAGAAGCAAAAAAAAGTATAAAATGCGCATCAAAAACAGGTAGGGCTTTTTAAAAAGTGGCATGTAACTCCGTTGTTTTTGGTAATAACACTTCAAAATTTTTATCACATCCTACAAAAATCTGTGAAAAACGCACATTCGAAAAAATTGTNGGTGCCTCTTGATTATTATCATTTAAGCAAAATAAGTGGTCGAAATTTGGACTTCCAAAATGGGCCACATCTGAGTTAGCGTCGGCAGCCACATACCGGAAATTAAATTCAAACACTAATGGCACAAAACGATCTTTCAAATGAAGACCTTCTAAATTTTCAGATTAAAATGAAGTATGTAATCTCATTATTTTATTTCTATTTAAAATTCTGCACCTCTAAAAAAACACCCTTACCATACATGCACACATACATACATCACTTTAATTCACAAAGGCCCTAACCAACAGATTTTTTATTTTACAGGAGAAGCAAAAAAAAGTATAAAATGAGCATCAAAAACAGGTAGGGCTTTTTAAAAAGTGGCATGTAACTCCGTTGTTTTTGGTAATAACACTTCAAAATTTTTATCACATCCTACAAAAATCTGTGAAAAACGCACATTCGAAAAAATTGTTGGCTAGGGCCTTTGTGAATTGAGGTAACGATGTTTATGTATGCTTACATTTTATTGCATATTAATGCGTTTTAAAACCAACATTTACGAAATAATCGATTGCAATTGTGAACGCTAATTATTTGGTGGTTAAATCTGTTGACATTTTGTTTTTAGCATCAATAAAATTCCTTTGTGTGTATTCTCTTAAACTGCTAAAATTTTCCAAGTAATTATTAATTACCGATTTGTCGATTTTATAACACAGAGTGATTATGGTTTAAACAAAAATAATCTTCAATTTATTTTGGTTTGCTATATATCGTGCCCTAACCGCCAAAAAAACGTAAGGNCTCTTAAACTGCTAAAATTTTCCAAGTAATTATTAATTACCGATTTGTCGGTTAGAGTGATTATGGTTTAAACAAAAATAATCTTCAATTTATTTTGGTTTGCTATATATCGTGCCCTAACCGCCAAAAAAACGTAAGCGAAATTTTTTTCAAAGTTTTATTTTTGATGCAGAAATGCTCCTAAGAAGTTTTAAAAAATTTCGAATACATTTTTATGGCGGTAAGGCTCGATATGTACATACATATGTATATCTTTTTCGCAGATTTTTACTTTTAAGTTATTTTACGATTTTTAATTTGTTTAATTATACTCGACCGTTATTTTTAAACGTTATTTTTTTATGATATTAGGCCGATTTAGTTTTGAATATAATCCCCTGTTTGATTTTTTTAATTATTTTCGATTAAATTACTATACATATGTACATACTCGCATTCTCATCGATCATCTGATCATCTTGAGTTTATTGGAATCCAACAATTCGAAAGTCTACAAGTATTCTTCAAATAAAAATAATAATAAAAGAATAAATTATGATTTTTATTGTAAAAACAAAAACTATAACGGTCCCTGGTTTACTGTATTTTCGCCTTTTTGTTTTTGATATATATGTAGATCTATCCAATTAAAAATAAATTTACAATATACTATATTTAAATAAATATGCTATACAATAATGTAATTATAACTATTGTGAATAAAAACATAATTTTTAATAAATTAAACAGAGGAAAGTGATTCAAATAAAAACACAACCAAAAGTGCATAGTTTTACATATTGGGGTTCTTAGGTTTCTGGTAGTGGTATTGCTAAGAAATTTTTATATTCGCATTTTTTTATTACTTAAGTTTTTATTAGAAGTTGTACGAAAGGTAGTCGCCCTGTCGTCTGAAACCCCGTTTGAATTTTTACGAAGCTGAGTCAGCCACCACGTCATTTAACACAGCCGTATTATTTTCCCAGTGATACCAAATTCAGACATCACGGCGTAAAGGAAGCTTCTTTTCCCGCTATCAATGGGATCAGTGTTGGTCTTCCCCTCGCTGGTCTTTTCCAAAATTTGATGTATGGTGAATTCCTGGTGTCATTTCACAACACTAGTCCATCAGTGCAACCAATGCGAACTCATATAAGATGGTGTTACCAGAGCAGCGGAGACCTTCGGCTCGGTGATTCCTAATGTCAATATGATGTACATATACAGTGCGTCCTAGACCACCCATCCACTCGCTTTAAAATGGAGGGAAATGCTTTTTACTGAAAAACGCAAAAATATGACCTACCAAATCGGAGATGCTCTTTTGGTGGTATTACCTACTTCCGGTTTAACTGACCGAAAGTAGGGATGCAATTTTTTAGATGTAACATCAATACATCGATGTTTCGATACATCGCAAAATAAACATCGAGGGTAAAATACAACAGCCGAAAAATATCGATACATCGCTGGTTTCCAATGTTTTACAATTAGTTAGGCCCTAGTGAAATTAAGTGAAATTTAACTCATTAAACGCGATAGTAAAAGAGGAAATTTAGAGGAACCAAATTTTGGTGAATACTAAAAGAGAGGATATGCACAAAAACCCATAATAAAAAGTTTCGACCTCTATAAAGGGGTGTCTGTATGACCTCAAACATATATGCAGTGTTGCCAGAACTTTTTGGACCAACCGGCTAAATCGGCAAAAAACAACCGGCTAAAAATGGCTAAACTGTTTCAAATAAATTTCACATGTTTTATTTAATTAAATCACAAGTTGAAAGACTAGTTCTTGGAGAGAAGTTTCAAATTGAAGCTGGAAAAAATAGGAAAAAACATATGATTGTGACACATGGTTGGATTTTTTGTCGACGACAATTTGAATAAACAAGTTCGTTAAGTTTAAAAATTTACAAACTTGACGATTTTTAAATGAAAAATGTAAGTAAATACTTGTTTACTAATTAATTTAGTTAACTTCAATGATTTGAAAGGTACTCGGCTGAAAAAAAACTGTATTCGTAAACGGAATGCAATCTCAACCAGAGTCGATCTAGGAAATCCGACAATTATACGACAAAGAAATTGAAACGTATATTGAAGAAAGTCGGACCTAAAAAGAAATATACATGTAGATCCTGTTCTTTGCCTCTCTGAAAGAATTTTAAAAATTCTATACAAGTTTCTTATGTTTGAAATGCAACGTGGACACTAGCTGGCAGGGAAACTTTGCAAAAAAAGTTTGTTTAAAAAATAATACATATGTGTAAATCATGCTTGAAAATATCCATTTTTCCCCTATCTTAAACGTTTAAGCGTGGACAACAATGATGTTTTGTAATTGACAGAATTGAATATGCGCTATCTGGCAAGATAATACCTGTACTATTTATTCTATGTCTTGGAACTATATCCAAACACAAACGCGTGTTAAGCAAACAAAGAAATAATTTGTTATTTTCTAAGTTTGCGAATAACACTTCACACTTCAAGTTAAGACATTCATAACAAACATTTTATGAAGAAAATCCCCACTACGCCCTTCTTTGAAAAAAACGTAAATAAAAATAGCCAAACTCCTAATTATATAACCCTGCCTGACGTGAAAATTTTCTCCGCGATAAGGTTAGCAGCCATTTCTATCAGATTTTAGATCGCTTCGTCAAAAATTGAAACATAAATATTTGAATTTTAAGAAAACAAGTCAAATAGCAAAATTAAAACGGCTAACAAATCGGCAGCCGGCTAAACCGAAATTTCTCCGGGGGTTTGCTATCGCAAGCGGCTAAATCTAGCCGGAAAACGACTAAAATGGCAACACTGCATATATGTAACACTCGTGAATCTTTGTTATGCAATAAAAATTTTCATAACAACATTATTAGTCCGCGAAATTCGAGCGTTACAAATATGGAACACTAGGGTTTGTTTTTCAATCCGAAGCAATGCAGTCTTCGGTATGCAATTAGAGAAATGCCTTCCTATAATTACTTATAAATATGTTAATAAAAATTCATACTATCGTGGGGTCGCTGGGTCCCAATCGTTGAAATTCAAGAACCCGCATAATTTTCTATCACAGGGCAATATATTTCTTAAGATGGGTGGTCGGTCGTTTTTAAGTGCCAGTTTAGCATTCTCAAAACTGGACAACAATGAATGAATAATAAAGAACTTTGAATAATAATCGTTGAAACTGACATTGATGTATCGTCAATTTAGCGAATTGTCAACATCGATAGCAAACATCGAATTTCGAACCGCTTCTATCGATCTTTCAAAAAACATCGATGCATCGTTTACATCCCTAACCGGGAGTACATTTTTTTAAATTACGACATACTAAAAACATGTACAGACTCGAATTCTGAGGATAAAAATACGTCTTTTATTTAAAGCTTTTTTCTCAGCAGTGTCTTTTGCAACCTTTAAATGACGGGGAACCGAAATTGCGGATATGGAAACTATGCATTTAGACATTATTTCGGTTCAACCGAAACTGTGCATGCATGCATTATTTCGGCTTTTTTTATATGCATTATTTCGGTTTTCTAACGAAAGTGTGCATATGGATAATTTCGTTTTTTTCTAATATGAATTATTTACTTCTACTTAGTGAGGGTTTTAATCACTAAGCGCGGTCGAAGGCCGCCTACACAGAAAAAAGTTCGTTTTCATGCTAAATTTCGGTTTGGAGTCGAAACTGTGTCTGTATGCATTACTTCGGGCTTTGTCATATGCGTTATTTCGGTTTTCAAACGAAAATGTGCATATACGCATAATTTCGGTTTTTTCATATGCATTACATCGGTTTTTAACCGAAACTGTGCATGTATGCATTATTTCGGTTTTTTCGTATGCATTATTTCGGTTTTTTTTATATGCATTATTTCGTATGCACCGTTTCCATATGCACAATTTCAGGGTGCCGAATTTCTAAGTCGGGGATGCTATATTTTGGTCTTATTCCGTTTTAGACCGGAAATAGGTTAGGTTTTTTTTAAATAGGACATACATGTTACTACTACAGGTTTGGTACTGGCGGATACAGGTGCATAACTTATGTCGGAAACTTTTTTCTGGAATAGACTTCCAGTTAAAATAATGCACTTCCGGTTGTTTTGATAGGCAGTCAGTACCCATCCTAAAAAACTGTATCTTGGCGTTTAGGAATTTGAAGCAATCAAAAAGATATATTTCAATATTGTGCCTCTTCTAATGCATTCTTTGTCGCAAATTTATATTTCGTGAATCTCCGCTTAAAAGGGTAGCTACCCCTCAGGGCCGGATTTACTTAAAATGCCGCCCTATGCCACTACCTACATGAAATATAAAAAAAAATCTCTGCGTATACAATTCACAACTGAAATAAGTAGATAAATGCAAAACAGGCGGTTAAATTCATTCAATGGTTATTTATAAAGTTCTTAGATAGAGATACATTTCTTCAAGATTTTTAGTTTTGAAACTATTGCATGGCGCATTTGCAATATGGGGTAATTAGCGAATTTCGGGCCTGTGCGGAGCACGTAATAAAAGCGCCAATACTGCAGCGCTGATGATTTGCAAGACTGTTGCAACTCCCCAACTGATAAAACGTTGCTAGAAACTTTAATAATTCGTGCAACACTGCGGTTGTGATTGCAACTCGAACAAGCCTTTCATTAGGACCTTCTTATATCTGATTTTAAGGTCGGAGGTATTTAGGATTCTTTTTATATTAGAATAGGAAAGGGAGGTGAATAACTCAGTGAGCGGGCAGGACCAGGAAGAGTTTATTCACACAACAATTTTTTCTGCAAGGTTGTAAGTCAGAGTCCCTACGGCTTATAGCGCTGTGGTTTTGCCGTTTAGAAAACTCCGGAAGAGTTTTTTTTTTGTTGCATCAAGCGGGAATGTTGCCGCCACTGGCCGCGTTATACAAATTTTATGTGCATTAGGATTTTTGACACTTCCTTGACGCTTGACACACCAATTCAGAGATGGCAGTAAGCGATTTTGGCCGAGTCCAAAACAGCACGCCAGTCGTTTCTCTTCTGTGCCAAGTGACGCCAATTGGAAATGACAAGTGAAGCCAAGTCNTAAGCGATTTTGGCCGAGTCCAAAACAGCACGCCAGTCGTTTCTCTTCTGCGCCAAGTGACGCCAATTGGAAATGACAAGTGAAGCCAAGTCCTCCACCTGGTCTTTCCAATGCAGACGAGGCTTTCCTCTTCCTCTGTTACCAGCATCGCGACCGGCGTTGATTACTTTCAGAGCTGGAACGTTGGAGTCCATTCGAACGACATGACCTAGCCAGAGTAGCCACAGAATTTTAAGTCGCTGCAGTTATATCTTTGCAAAGCGCAAACAGCTTATCGTTAAATTGTCTGCGGTATTCGCCATCGACAACGCGCACAGGTACGATGTTTTCATTGCCATACACCAGTACAGGCAGGCAGGCAGGAGTGACTTATAGAGGACGATTTTTGGACGACGAGAGAGGACTTTACTTCTTGTGTATTGGGCAGCGCCTAGCATATTCTGCGTAAGAGTTGATGCATGCACCTTAACAACTCTTCGCCGCCGTACTTGAATAGCTCAGCTGGCAGGCCGCCAGCTCCAGAACTTTGTTGTTTTTCAGCCGCTTTATCGATATTTGTACCTCATCATAGTCAGACGGTGGCACATCGACTCCGTCATCATCGACTGGGGGCTCGGGTTCATCTCCACAACGTTCATCGTTGCTACCATTCAGTAAGGTGGAAAAGTGTTCCCTTCATATTTAAGCACGTTCTGTACATCAGTAACTAAGTCGCCGTGGTTGTTCTTCCGTAAGTCGCCCATTTCTGCTAAAATTTTCAGTATTTCCTGTCGGCCAGCATTTCAAGCTCTTCACACTCACGTATTTCGATCTCTGCTTTCTTATTGCGGCAATTACGTCTCGCTTCCTCTTCAGCTCCCTATAATGGTCCCACATTGCTGGCGTTGCGCTCGATCGCAGCGTGGCCCTGTAGGGGGAATTTTTTTTCTTTGAAATCCGATTCGGCGGCGGTTTCTTTTTAATGACCGGGAAATGTCAGTTTGTTGAAGAGTGCTCTCAGAGAGCAGGTATAAGGTGTTTGAAGCCACCGACCGAAGAACCTACACAACTAAAGGTCTTTTCCCTGAGATTCCTTCAGCCGAAACCGCAAGTCTACTTCACTTGTTATACAGATGATACGCATTAGCACAGTAAGCTTGGCTGAAAACTTTATGTAATTCAAAAACAAAAAGAAAACAAAATTAACAATTTAAATATGTACACTGCTGGCAAAAATTATTGGCACAGCTGCATTTTTACAATATATGCAACAATTTTTTAGATTTGTTTTGAGGATGCAGATTTGTAGCCCAATCAATTTTACTGTAATAAAGTAGAAGTTCTAAGTAACTGCGAATTACCGTTGATATTTGGCATATTTTTCCACGCAGCCTCTTCCTCATCAACGCGATTTTTGACTAACTCCGAACTCGCATTTTTTACTAGAATTTAATGGGCTACTAATCTGCATACTCAAGAAAATTCGGCAAAATCTGCTAAAAAATTTTAAAATTTGCATGACAATTTATTGAATTTTCGCGATTTTTTCACAAAGTTTAGAAGTTAAATTTTTGCGTTTTTTGTTATAAAATGAGCCATATTTTTATAAAAAATTAGCGGACAAATATTAGAATAGAAATTGGTGCATATATTGTGCAAAGTTCGCTGTGCCAATACTTTATCCGGCAGTGTATATTTTTTCATAATTTTCCTTATATCTAACCCATCTTTGATTATAATGGCTTCGTTAAATCGCTTGTCCCGACCACAGTGTATGTTCCGACAATCTTTTAAGTGCCTCGACCGTAATATTCTCAAAGCGTTTATGAAGTGGAACTCGAGCAAATGTGATGCAGGAATAGATGGCAAAGGAGTTAAGGACTTACGCACTGCCGTTGAAGATAAAATTAAGTCTGAGCAGGAACGTATAAAAAAGTTTGTCAAAGAAAATGGAAAGAAGAAATTGGGCGAAGTGACGATTGCGCAAATTTATGGTGGTATGCGTGGCATACCTGCGCTGCTTTGCGAAACCTCAAGACTAGATCCTAACGTAGGTGTACGCTTTCGCGGTTATACCATATCCGATTGTCAGAAGAAGCTGCCGAAGGCTGAATGTGGGGATGAACCCTTGCCGGAAGCAATTTTTTGGCTGTTAATAACTGGAGAAATACCCACACCGGAACAGGCAAAAATGATAACAGACGAATGGAATGATAAAGCTGCAATCCCTGATTATGTTAAGAAAATGTTGGATAGCTTGCCAAAAGATATGCATCCAATGCCGCAGTTCTCAATTGCCGTAACGGCATTAAGTAAGGATAGTGAATTCTTGAAAGCCTACAATAAGGGCGTTAAAAAGACAGAATTTTGGAAGTCTGCATTGGAGGATACAATGACATTGTTAGCCAAGTTGCCCAATATAGCGGCATATATTTACA